ATATTTATATATTTATATATCTATTTATATATATATAGATGTATATATATATGTATGTATATATTTTTCATCTCATATTGTTGACATCAGCTTGTATGAAATAAAGTGTTTCATTTTGTGACTACTCTGGGATCCTGATGAATCTCAGTGGTATCAAGAGATCGCCTAATAGAGCATTCAGATTCATTATTGGCTATTTCTGTAGTATTTTTTTTCAGAGAGTATTTCCAGAATTTGCCAGAAAATACCCGTTCTGTGCATGCTGATGTTGTTTGGGGTGTATGTAGATTGAAGATGACGTCAGGTGCTGAAGAAAAAACAACGTATACGGAAATTGTGGGTTGTGTAATTTGGTTGTTATGCAACACATTCAAATGTCTCCCACATTTTCGATATAATTTACCATGATCTATTGTGGTTTTTCGAGCGTAACTCGCGTAAACTTCACCCCTCTCTGCGTTGCTTCCCGAATTAGGGATCGAAGTTCATATTTAAAAGGCATAAGGTACTTGTTTAAAGCTATATTTCATAGAAGTCCCTGTGGCTGTACACATATTAATTATATTCCTTTCATATGATATAGCTTAAATAAAGAGAGCTGGTCTGTTGATCAGATACTCTGGCAAACAGCGCTGTGCAGAAGTTATAGATATATTGTATCTGAAAGCATCACATAGACACCAAGTTCACACTCTTCTGTATTACAACTAACAAATTAATCCATCAGTATTTATAATTTCAATGCACAGGCTTAATTTCGCAAACAGTTTGTCGGTCCGTACTATTAGATCGACATATGCCGCAGTGAAGCCATACGCTTGTGAGTGGCCCAGCTGTAGTCAGACATGTGCCAGTGTTCATAATCTGAAGGTGCACATGCGCGTGCACACGGGCGAACGTCCTCATGTGTGTGACTATCCTGGATGTGGTATGAAGTTTGCTCAGAGTTCTAGTTTGAATGCACACAAACGCGTGCACACGGGCGAACGTCCCTATGCGTGTGACTATCCTGGGTGTGGCAAGAAGTTTGCTCTTAAGGGTAATTTGAAAATACACAAACGTGTGCACTCGGGCGAACGTCCCTATGCGTGTGACTATCCTGGGTGTGGCATGGAGTTTACTCAAAGTGGTGCTTTGAATGCACACAAATGGGTGCACTCGGGCGAGCGTCCCTATGCGTGTGACTATCCTGGGTGTGGCAAGAAGTTCACTCAAAGTGGTGCTTTGATAGCACACAAACGCGTGCACACGGGCGAGCGTCCCTATGCATGTGACTATCCTGGGCGTGGGATGAAGTTCACTAGAAGTGGCGATATGAGAAGACACACACGTGTGCACACGGGCGAACGTCCCTATGCGTGTGACCTTCCTGGGTGTGGCAAGAAGTTCACTCAAAGTGGTACTTTGATAGCACACAAACGAGTGCACACGGGCGAACTTCCCTATGCGTGTGACTAGTTGCAATGTTCAAGCGATCTGATCATTTACGCCGCCAACGAGGCGTGCAGAATGGCAAAGACAGCTCAACAAATTAAACATGAGGCGGTACACAGGCGGGGCTGTTCAATAAATGCACGCGACCGCATTTGTCGCTATCACACGTTGATGCAGACTGTGTTTACCGATATACATGCCGTTGTAGTGTAGCAATGCAAAATGTTAAGTGTTCAAACTAGAACCATGAATTCATTTATTAACACGATTTAATCTGCGCTTCAATTGTTTGTATGCGAAATTGGCGAACTATGGGTACTACTGGGTGGCGTAAAAATGTACGAACACATTCCACTGCGTAGGTAACTAAAATAAATACATTTAGATACATACACACACATATTGTATTATAAATATATGAGTATATGAATATATATATATATATATATATTATATATATATTTATCACATATGTGATTTTATTTAAGCATATTAATACATATTCCATACTTCTACGAAAGTGACCAAAGGAGGGATCTACTTTTGTATTAATATACCACTTTCCTATGAGCCTAACTCACGAGTCACCTACAAATGCCTTGTCCTAGTATACAGAAAAGTTATCACTCTGGCAGACTTCTTAAGTTGGTCAAAGGCCTTCAGTGTCTTTACTGTACTCTCATTAGTAGAGAAATCGACCTCAGCCTTCGCGTTACCTAGCTGCTTTATAAAGCTTGGTTCGAAGCGTTCACGAGGCTCACGCTCAGTGCTACGGGCTGCTAGTGCCAAGATGGAGTCTATCTCAATCATAGGAGTTACATGAACATAAACGTTTATATAAAGGCTTGCCATTTAGAGTCAGCGATGAAGAACAGTCGTACCGGAAGAATGTACGGATTGTGAACACTGTCCGAGATAACCCGATCGGCTTCTAAATATATGTGAGTCCTATAGGATTTAGAACGGGCGCCACTATGACTAAGAATATTTTTTTTATTGGCGTATACAATACACAACGAATCAACCCAGAATCGCTGTATGCGACTGTACGCATACCAGCACTATCTGTGTCAGGTAAGGATGAGTAACGTATTTGCTCGTCGTGTGATGTACATGACTACGAGGTCAATATAACGTATCAGGCGACCCTGCTGAGCACGATACACTTGTCTATATAGTGCCTGCGCAGTGGCCGGTGCACTGAACATTCAAACATAAAACCCTAAACCCTAAAAACGTGCATACACACAACTAGATGAAATACATTACATACCATCACATATGCCCACGGGATGTTTGAAGTATAAGTGGTGAGATGATAGCGCAAAACATCTCCTAATTTATGAGACAAGGCCGCATGCTAATTAATTGAAATATAAATGGAGATGATTGTCCCAGTATTAGATGGCTGGCGGGAAGGGCTGTGCACACAAATGGTCCTACCATAGACGCCTTGAAGAGTGCGTGCATATGTGATTCCAAATGAATATGTATTATATGTTTATGTACATGAGTGTATCTATCATCCAGTGAACGTATGAAATTGAAGCTCAAGGAGATGGAGACATCTACTCAGTTACAGTGTGATACACCGTTTTTAAAAACAAGATCAATCTGCTAAACAATTAACTACACATACCCAACGGAGATTCCTGCCGAGGATACGAATGCACTGAGACGCCAATACCAACAGTTTGTCTATTTCAAGCGCGTAGATGGGCTGTTATTCACACATATCTGCATTCGTACCAGCATATATATGTGAATTTATATCTGAATTCGTACAGGCATATATATGTGAATGTATATCAGAATTCAGACTAGCATATATATGTGAATGTATATCTGCATTCGTACTAGCATGTATGTGTTAATGTATAGTTGTATACCTGCAATTGTATCAACATATGTATGTAAAGATTTTGTTTCAGGAAATGTATGAACATATAAATACACAGAAGAAAATAATCAGATATAAGAAACTTTATACATGACAAGTACACATAATGGGCACCACCATGAAGAACACACAACTGACCAAACTGATATACATTATATACATTAACAAATTATCATATATACATTATATACATTAACAAATTATCATATATATATATATATATATATGC